AAATGCTCTAAGTCTGAGTCTGTCCCTGGTGGCAGGTCCCCAGGGCGTGGACTGGCTGTGCAGCCCAAGTGAGGGCCCGGGAGACGTCACACGCCTGGTGAGCAGCCACGTGGAACCTGGCTTTGCTCCTCCCCGAAGTGTGCCACCTGTGCAAAAGACAGGCATGTACCCACATGTGACACAATCACCCAGGGGCACGGCCACACACTGGGGTAGGGGATGTGGGGACATCAGGCCCTCCCGGGAGCCTGAGAGTGCGGCTCTGCCTCGCGTCTCTCAATGCCACAGGGTCTCCAGGGTCTTACTCCACACTATGCCACAAGTGGAGGCAGGAGCCGGGCAGAGGGTATATGTACCCTTGGAGTGGAGACGAAGCCCTGGAGCCAGTCAGGAAGCAGGGACACTGGGTGCCCGGGTGGTAGCCCAGGGTAGGGGTAGCAGGGGTGGGAAGCCTCTACTCTGGGCCCACATCTCACCACAATCCAGGTAACACACGAGTCACACGTGCCCACAACGTCTGCTCCTGTGGCACAGGAGGGTGGGTGTGCGTCAGTAGGCAAATGCGGCTGCTTTCAAACTCATCCATGCTGCCCAACACACGGGAGTGGGCAGCCAGTGAGCTGAGGACGCCCAGCCCAGAGCCCTGGCTGGCACGCTGCCCTGGGAAGGCCCTCAGGATTACCAGGGCAGTCAGGCTCAAGGGCCCTGCATCCACAGCTGCCAGGCCCAGGACAGGGACCACAGCTCGGCTCTAGAGCCTGCCATGCGCCACGCCCTATCTCTCTGCGATCATCGTGGGAACGGAATTAAAGTAGTTAAGTTTAAGACTGAGGTGCTAACCACACAGCTTAAATGGAGATGCCATTCTAGAAGTGGATCTTATGCAACCAGCAGAAGGTTTCGGGGCACAATGGGCGGGCTTCTGCCAGGGTCCTAGTGCTCTGGGCCAACCTCACCTGGGCAGAGGAGGGGCCATGTCCTCGGGGTCCTGGCCTCCTCCGGGACCCTGGCCTCCCGCCCTGCCCTGGGCTGCCACGCTCAAGGTGACCACAGCAGGGAAACACATACTGTGGGCTCCACTCGTGGGCAAGGAGGGGTTGATCCGCATGGCAGGGAATCGTGTGCTCACCGTCAGGTGGCAGCTACGGCAGAGGCCCTGTGGGAGCCACGCGGGTGCACACGGGCCTCAGCCCACACCCGCTCGGCCAGCCGTGGAGAGGTTAAAGGTTACGGGCTGGTGAGCTGGTGTCACCCGCTGCAAGAACCGCAGGCCGGGCTGCCGGCAGGAAGTGGCAGGGTGGGGCCGGGTTGAGATCCCACTATCGAGGCGCGGCGGGGCCCAATCACTGACACCCACACAGCCGTTTCCTGCACCTAAAAAAATCTGTTTCTCTCTGCAAATCAACAACTTTTACCTAGAAACTCCTCGGCGAGCTGAGTGATCTCGAGCTCTGGTCCGTTGCACAAAACACACCGTTGTTTACCTGGGGGAGGCGCCGCCCGCCCGCACCAACGGCCAGGTTTCGGGGCTCCGGGCTGCTTTGCACCTGCCTGGAAGGAGCCGGTCCTGGCCACAGGCAGACACCTGCTGCACACTCAGCACCGAGAGGACCCTTCTAGAAAATGCTTGGGGTGGGAGCTCCGCATGCACAGCCCCAGTGGGAGTGCAGTGGGAGCCTGGACTGGCCCTTCTGGGCAGGCGCCTGGAGCCCACCACACCTGTGGACTAGCACTGGGCCTCAGAGATGCCACAGGTGCCCAGCCTCCTGAGGCAAGACAGTGGGTGGCTCTCGGTCAGACACCCCGACACAGCCCTGGGACTCAGACCCACTGAGTGCTGTCCAGGGACAGGAGTGGGGGCCTGCCGCAGGCGTTACACTCCACTTGCTACACACTACTCTTCAACATTTGCAAGCAATCCTACCACACTGCCGCTGCACGGGGGAGGGGGACCACCAAGCTGAAGAGCCCTGGCAGCCAGGCCCTGCCCAGGTGACCCATGGAGGCGCGCATGCAGGAGCAGCTGTGTCCTGGTCCTGCATGTACAGTGCTCCACCCACACCCCGTGCCAGATTTCTGACCAGGCAGGGAAACTGAGGCTGGAGAGGCCCCACCCTCTGCCTGGGCACAAGCTGGGGCAGCAGCGGGGCAAGAAGGTACATAGGCCCCAACTGTAACATCCAGAGAGCACGGAGTAGGCAGATGCTATGCTCTGTGAGGCAGGGCCCACAGACAGCCTGACGCAGGCACCCCTGCCCCGCTCCCCAAGGGCAGCCTCCCTCCAAGCAGTGTCTGTCCCACAACCCCCACACCCTGCTGCTGGGCCCTGTGGCCTCTGGGCAAGCGGCCATTGCCCCATGCTGGCGCATGGTCTCCCCTGCTGGGAGAGGGCTAAGTGTAAGGGGAGGGCACAGAAGCACAAGCCCTCAGGAAATGTCCCTGCAATCTCAGAACCTGGGAGGATCATGAATTCAGAGCCAGGCCAAGCAACGGAGAGAAACCATTGCCTTAAAAACAAAAACAAAAAACCAAAAAAGGTGACAGGCACCAGGGTCCCTTTGTAGAGGCCACTGAAGCACCAGGAATAGGGCCTTGGCTCCCGAACAAGGGCTGGGACCATGGGCTGGAACCGACAGGAAACCGGGTGGGCACAGGGACTGGCGGCCTTCAAAGCCACATGCCTCCCACCCTGCGGCAGCTCGGGGTTAGTGGCGGGGAGCTAGCGGCATGGGCCTGGGTCTGGACCTGCACCTACCGCCTAGCAGCGTGTACAGCACAGGGCTGTCCTGCTGAGACACGGCCTCTGTGAGAGAAGCAGAAGACACTCAGCCCCACCTGTGCTCAGGACATGGTGCCCTCGACACCTGGGTAACCATGTGAGCTCTGGGCCTGTCCTCCTAGGGAGAGGTCCAACCATGTCCTATCCCTGTGAGGTCAGGAACAGGCTCCTCGCAGAGGCCACCGTAGCAGGTGGAGGCGCAGGTGGGGAACCCAGGAGGGTGAGGCCAGAGCAGCCCAGGGTGGGGAGATGGCGCAGGCGGCCCACTCCAGTACGGCGCTCTGTGCCTGCTGACTCTCAGGAAGCCTATCCTCCCTGGTGCCCAGGACACAGGCCTACTCTGCATGAATGTGCGCATGTAAGCACATGGCCCATCTGAGAGTTACACACATACATGTGGGGCCAGGGAATAGGCGTACATGCACACAGGAGCTACAAGGAATGTGTGTATGTGTGTGCACTGGCTGCATGCATGTGTTGTGGCATGTGGGTAGGAAGACACCCTGGGTCCCTCAGCAGGTCCTGTGGCAGCCTGGTCATGTGCCCCGAGGCCTCAGGGCCAGCAGCTGTGCACAGGGCACACTTCTAGGCTGTTCAGGGCTGTGACCGGGCGCCCACCCAGAACAGCCCAGGGCTCGTGAGAGCCGGGCCTTACTGACACGACCAAAAGGAGTGCCCTTTTGGTGTCAGCCTGGGGACAGGGGCAAGGTCAGTGCATAAAACCCTGCCTTGGGTGGGGACTGGCCAGCCAGGCCGGGATGCTCGTGTGACAGGTGCAGAGGGGACAGCAGCAGTTAGAGTCTGCAGCACAGTCTCTGCTGCTCGAATGGGCAGCACAGCAGCCAGGGTGCAGCTTGGTCCCCTCAAGGATCCCACATGTGGGTCTTAGCCCCAGCACTCCATCCTGGGGATGCCCATGGGCAGAGGGGGACAGATGCCACCTGATGTACCCCGCTCCCCATCTGGGTGCTCAGCCCTGTGCACACCAGCAGGAGCCAGGGTCAGGAGGCCCAGGCAGGGTGGAGAACACACACAGCCCCCAGGGTGGCCAGGGAGGACTGGGACAGCCGCACATACTGACCGCTGGGGGGCTTGGGCCGTGGAGGCGCGGGCTTCTTCGGTGGCAGAGCAGGCGTGTCCTGTTTGCTTTTAAAGGGGTCCTCTGAGAAGCCTGCCCCTGCCATGGAAGAGGCGAAGGGGCCAGAAGGTGGGGGCTGCAAGAGAGGACACCAGGGAGACACACATCACTTAGGGCGCAGGTGCTGCCATGCTGCACTCTGACCCAGCTTTCCAGGCCGCCTTCCCGGCCCCAACATCACCTTGGCACCATGCGGGCAATGCAAAGGAGTGCAGGGCTGCACCCATGTGGCAGGAGGCATCCCCAGCCCCCTTGTCCTGGTCCTGGGCTCTGCACGCAGGCTCCACAGCCTTGGATCAGCCGATGCATCACCATTTGCTGTGGCTGTGGGGGTCTACACATGAAAATGTGCCACCTCCTGCTGCCCAGCTGAGCAGCACTAGGTCCTTTCTGTCCCTGGGTTGCCACACAGGGGCTGGTGGCACCTGCTAGCCACAGGCTGTCACATGCCTCCTGTGGCTCCCATCACCTGTGGCCTGGACCCTCACTTCTTGATCCTTTTTTTGGTACTGGGGATTGAACTCAGGACCTTGTGCTTGCCAGGCAGGCACTTAAGCTACTGAGCTGTCTCCCTAGCCCTCACTTCTTGATCCTTCAGCCACCCAAGAAGGGATGCCCACGCTAACACAGGAACTAAGGCACAAGAAGGCCAGGTTGGACCTGCCCCTCCTCCTCCAGGTGAGGCCTTGTCCACAGCCACAGGGTTTCAGCCAGCGGCCGGCCCACATGGAGCTTCTGCACGGCAGGGGTGCAGCTCACAGCAGTCTGTCCACGTTGTAGAGCCGTGGTGCCACTCATAGGGCAGGATCCACAGCGTGCCTCAGTTTCCACCCCTCCGGGGACTCACACAGGCTAGGTGTGCACTTGCTACTGAGCCCCAGCCCGGGGTCCCTGCCTCTGCCTCCACCTCCCCAGCAGTGGGGATCACGCCATCTTCAGGAGATGGCAGGGAAGGGCACCCTCCAAGCTGTGACAGATGTGCACGACAGACCACGGGTGCTGGGTGACTGGGCAGTCACCCCTGCCGTGGCTTTGCTTTCCAATGTCAGACACCTAAGATCCCATGACATTACGTGAAAACTCCAGAGATAAATGATCTGTAATTTTTAAACAACTCTGCGCACGCAGAGAGCCCTTCTGCTTGTGATCAGTTACCCTTGCCCACCTCCTCCTGTGCCCGATTTACAAGACACACCACAGCTGAGCCACATCTGCAGAGGCCATGCGGGGTTCGTCCCAGGGTCCTGGCCACGGTGGCATGGATAGGTATGGGAGATGCCAGGCACATGGCTTAACCAGGTTCTGTCCACTCCCCACAAGTCTCAGGACTCCTCATGCACACCTGCCCAGGGGAGGGGACCAGCAAGGTCTCTATGCTGGAGAAAAAGGGAGAGGACAGGGCACCAGTGAGGGACTGAGACCCCAGCACGCAGCCCTCCTCCGGTGCTGGCACCATGTTGGCCTGGCTGGTAGGCTCCTTCTTTTTCTCAGATCAAGTGGCAGGACCTGGGCCACTAAGGGTGCACCGAGCCGGGGCCCATAAATGGGAATGGCTGGTGACACACTGGTGCCAATGCTGTCTGAGCCAGGCAGAGGCTGCATGAGCCCCGCGCCTTCCCTGAGTTGCCGCGCTCCAGTGTCAGGGCCTGTTGCCTGCCATGCCCACAGTACTGCCCTTGCGGCTGCTTTGAGGAGAAGTGCTGTTTTAGGAGGGTTTCGTGGCCAGAGTGTGGTGCTCGGGAGGAAAGGACAGAGCAGGCCGTTCTGACGCATTGTGGTGCAGCTCTGCAGGGGCCAGGCCCAGGCTGGGGCTTGCTGTGCAGGGTGCAGGGCAGGTCAGCGACCCAGCACTAGTGTGCCAATGGCTGGCAGGCAAGGAGAGCAGGTGGACAGGCATTGAGCATTTCAATGACGGCTTTTTTTAGGTGTGGGTAGGGAGAAGAGAGTAAAAGATGTAAGTTAGAATCTTATTTTTGTTCTCGATGCGCTCTAAAAACATGTTTGGGGACGTGTTTTGAAAGCAGGCTGTGCGGTTGAGGTCAGCACTATCTCGCAACATCTCGGGCGGGCGCCTGGGTGGGGCAGCAGCGAGCAGGGCTCCAGGCTGCAGGGGAAGGCAGGGGAAGCCAGGGGTGCGCCGGGCACCGCACCCTCTCAGGTGGAGACGTGGGTGAGCCTGAAGCAGAAGAAAGCTCAGAAAGCAAACACCCGCCGAGCGCACTTTCATTTCCTCCACATTTATTTATACCCCAGTGTTGTTCTTGAAAATCAGCGTGTGGCCCATGGGACCCAGGGGCCGGCCGAGCACAGCCGCACAGTGTCCTGGGACGCCAGCCTCCCCCAGTCGCCCTGGATGCAAGGGAGCAGGGAGCAGGCAAGCAGCTCCCGGTCACCGCACCTGTATGGGACGGCGGGACAGCACAGCTGGCGGGCAGGAGGAGGCTTCTGGGCAGCCGGGTAGGCTGCCTGTGTGTTGCCCCTGCAGGCCCAGCTCAGACACATCCAGCATCGGGTCCTCCTGAGGCCCCCCATCCCAGCATGGCCTGCGAGGGCAAGGCGGAAGAGGCCCTTCCTTGCAGGGTGGCGTTGTGGCTGGAGCAGGGACATCTCTGTTCAGAGGTCCTGGCCAAGCCAGGCTGGGAAGGCGGGTCAGGGACCACAGCCACAGCTGCCCCACGCCCAGGCCCCACCAAGGGCCCAGCTACCTCCTGGAGAGCATGAGCCGTGCACACTGGACGGACGTCTCCCCGCCGAGCCCTACACACACGGTGCGGCATCCATGCCTGCGCCCCTGCTGGCCAGACCCATGGCGGAGGGCAGCAGCGGCTGAGGGCAGCACCGGCCGAGGGCATCCGTACCTCATGGGAGGGGCCTGCACGCCTGGGCTCCCTGTGGACACGGGGGACATGTGTCCCTGCACAGGATGGGCTCAGCTTGTCCCCTCCCTGCCATCTGCAGAATGCTCTGGGAGGACCTGGCCCAGTTGGGGCTGCCTCCTCCATCTGTCCCAGGGGCTGAGGGCACCGAGGGCCTGGAGAGGGACACAGGTTCTGAGGATGGGGCTGCGGAGGCTGGGCGACTGTCACACAGCCCAGGGACCAAGTGAGTGGCACAGCACAAATCCCCCGCCCACAATTCTGCACCCAGTGAGGCCACCACTGAGCTCCAGGTGGCAGCCACCCAGGGGTGGGGGAACAAGTGGGGTAGGAGCCCAGGCCACACCAGCCTGGTCACCCCGCTACTGCCCTCCCTGCATGTACACTGTGTGCATCCCCTCCAGTACACTCCCTCAGATGCTCCTAGGACCCCCGAGCTAAGGAAACAGGTGCTGGTGGGCACAGGGCCCTGTCCCTCCCGGCCCCCAGGACGAGCCGAGCCCGGCTCCAGAGCGGTACCTTGGACATCTGGCTGAAGTCAGCAAAGCCCTCAGTACCGCTGAAGGCCCAGCTCCCGAAGGGGTCCAGGGTCCCGAAGGGGTCTGCAAGCACAGCAGTTCTCAGGTCTGGGGCAAGAGTAGCACCAGTCCTCCCGCCCCAGCACCCACCTCAGGAGTGGCAGGGCCCCAGCACGGCCTCTGTCCTGCGGGGCTAGGGGTGAGCATTGGAGAAGGCAAGGAGACACCTGGTGGCCACCAGACAGCAGACAGCAGACAGCAGATAGGGTCAGGCTCACAGACTGGCCTCCCTCCTGAGCTCAAGTGACCTTACTGTCAGAGCCTCTCGAGGCGCTGCGCTTTCTTAAGCTTCCTGAGCTGCCTGGCTACCGGGACCCAGAGCTTTCCCAGGCACAGAACAGGCCCGATGCCCCCGACTACTGCCCAAGTGCAGCTGTGGCTCACCTGGGAGCCGAGTGCCTCCTACTGTAGAGGCTGAGCCCCAGCCAGGGCTCCTGGGGAAACTGAAGGGCGCTACGGAGGACTGGGAAGCAGTACCAAGGCCGGTACCCCAGTCCTTGGGAGGCTGTAGCAGGAGGATACACGCTGGAGCCCAGCCTGGCCAGCTTAGTGAGAGCCTGGCTCACAATAAATAATAAGCGGGGCTGGAGCTGGGGCTGCAGCTTGGTGCAAAGGCCCTGGCTTCCACCCGGGTGGTCAGCAAACAGCAGTGGTGTTGCCCAAGAGCCCCCAGGGGGCGCATCTGTGCCCAAGAGGACCCCGAGCAGAGGGTGAGGCTCACCTGGTCCTTTGGAAGAGACGCTGGAGAAGGGGTCACTGGACTCGAAAGGGTCGAGCTAGGGGAGAGGGGAGCGCAGTTGGCCAGGCCCAGACCCTCTGTGGTGACCCAGCGTCAGAGCAGGGACAGCGTGCTGAGCTGGGAAGGAGGGAGGGCAAAACCCCCACAGGGAGTCGCTGCCCAGAGCCCAGTGTGGGAGCCGGGTGCTTCAGGGAAGCTGTCCAGGGCTGGGTCCAAGTCCAGCCAGCCATGGGCATGCCTTGCTCCCAGGGACAAGGGACCCTGCAGGGTGGGGGCTGGGTGTGGATGCGGCTCTGGTGTAGGGAGAGGCTAGGAGATGCAGCAGGCTGCCTGCCCCTCGCAGGCTGAGCAGAAGCAAGGAGGCCTCTCTTTATGAAGTAATTGACACTACATGGGCAGCTGGGCCTGGTGTCCCCTCCAGGGGCCCAGGCTGGTCTAGAACTTTTGGGCTCAAGTGAGCCTCCACTCCCTGAAGGGCTGGAGCTCTGTGTATGCCACTGTCCCCAGTTGTGTATCATTCCATCTGTCTTCTCAGAAGATGTGCTGGCAGTGGGGACAGCTGACAGTGCAGAGTTGGGGGGTGCAGAGGGCACTGGCCGTGATGCTGCCTGGCTGCCCCATGGTGAGCACGGGGCTGGGAGTCCAGGTCTGAAGAGTCCTGGCGAGTGTCAGTCACACAGCCCTCAGGTGGAGCCAGGACTTGGCACACATGGAGGCTGCTGTGGGGAGGGTGCCACCACACCGTCTCCCCCCACTCACCTTGGAAGGGAGAGATGAGGTCTTTGTGAAGGGGTCTGAGGTAAACGGGTCACTCTTTGTCTGTTTCTTGAAGAAGTCCTCAGGGGCAGAGCCTCGGAACAGGTCGCTTTCTTTGAAAGGGTCTCCTCCAAACGGATCTGGAAAGCCATCAGGACACTAAAGGGAAGCACCATGACCACACATCCCAAGGCCAAGGACAGAGAAGCAGCAGGGGGCGCTGCTCACGGGATGTGGGCAGGCAGGACTGCGAGCGAGGGTGGTGGAGGGGCATGGGGCCGCTGTGCATGCAAGGCCTGGCCTCCTGCCCACACGGCTATCAGAATGCCACCTGTGTGACACAGTGTACTGTGGTGGGGCTGGGGCCTGGGGGCACCTTGCCCTGCAGACCATGTCCTCAGAAGACTTGAGTCAGCAGCACAACACCCTTCCGTGTGGCCTGTGAAACAGCCAGAAGCTTGCCTACATCTGCACATGGCTGGGGCAGAGGCCAGTGTGTCCTGCTGAGGCTGATGCAGGACTGGGGCACACAGGGCACGAGCTGGCGCTCCACTTTAGTTTGCCAGGAACCGTGATGGCCTGTGGTCCCTGGGGTGGTCACTCAGGAACCAGAAGGGGCGTGCAAGACACTGATGCTGGGTCCTTCGGCCAGAATACCCCGAGTTAAAACAGAAGAGGCAAAGCAATCCAAGAGCCAGCGAGGCTGTCCCCAGGGCCAGGACTGAGGGTGTCCCAGAGCTGGCCTCCCTCTTCCTGCAAAGCCAGGGCCTGGAGACATGGAAGAAGCATTACCTACAGCTGCTGCCTGCTGCTCCGCGAAGGGGTCACTCTGGAACGGGTCACCTGTGGCACAGGACAGGGGAAGCTGGGCGGCAAGACCAGGGCACTTCACTCCTCCCTTCCCATCCACTCTAGGGAACCCTTGCCACTCAGGGAGCCAGGCTGGACACTGGGGGGCCAAGGAAGGCATGGTGGGCCCTGCTAGGGACAGCCACTCTCTCCTGGGGGCCATATGTCCTGGTGTCCTGGGGCCCCATCCCTAGCCAAGGTCCAACACTCCTGGAGGCTCCTCCCTCAGTCCACCTCTCTCCTGGAGCTGGAGTGGCTCTGAACATAGGACACTTGGGTAGAGGCAAGCAGGGCCTGTGAATGGAAAAGCCCTTCCTGCACACCCATCTGCGTGTAGCGTGGGGCCGGTGGCTACCTTTGAAGGGGTCAGCGCCTTTGAAGGGGTCAGCCTTGAAAGGGTCCTCCGCCTGGAAGGGGTCCGGATGCAGGGCCTGGGCATCGTTGCTAAATAACAAGGCTTTATTTTTGAAAGGGTCGTCCTAGAACGCCATGGAGAAATAGGACAGAATAGTGCCGTTACTTCTCACTTAGAGCAGAGCAGACACCTATGCCTAACTTAGTGCTTCACTTGAAGCATCGCAACCCTGAAATAAACAGTCTGAGAAGAAAACCACCACGGTGTGGCCTCTGGTCACTGAGTGAGCCTGACACCAGCCCACTGTGGCACAGAGGGCGGGACGGGGCAATGGCATGGCATAAGTGACAACGGAACGTGACTTAGATTACAAGGACCCTGCAGGACCTGGGGACATCTGCTGGTAGCACCAGTGACCCTGCTCACTGGCAAGGGCAGGAGTGACAGGCAGGTGGGGGATGGCACTGATAGGTAGAGGTCCAGCCTGCAGCAGAAGGCTCTGGAGGGGATGATGGCCCTGGCTGTTCCACAGGTGGCTGATTAGTGCCACCACAGAACTACGAGCTTAAAAATGAGGAAGACTGTACATTTTTACCCTGTATATTTTAGCAAAATTACTTGTTAAAGCTTCTTCAGTTCTTTTAGAGCTGGGCCCAGGAGCGCCTGTCCAGCACCTGCACTCAGGAGACTGGGGCAGGACAATGACCTGAGCCCAGGAGTTCAAGATGTCTCAAAGGAAAAGGGTGGGGGAAGGAAGGAAAGGGCAGAGAGTGGCACCTAGGCTGGTAAGGCAAATCACTGGGTCAGAAAGTGCCAAGGATGAAGTTGCTACAAAAGAGTCCCCCACAAGCCCGGGAGCTACCTCTTTCCAGAAGTGTAGCTTCCTCCCCATCTAGGTGTAAGCGAATGGGGACGTAGGTGGACGTGCAAAACGGTGCCTGGAGCCTGGTATGAGGGCAGAACTCAGGATCCCAGTACTCTGGGAGGTTGAGGCAGACCAGACACAAGTTCAAGCCTAACCCTTGTCTCCAACTTTAAAAAATAAGTAAAGCACACGACTGAAATCTTAGCCCTAAGGCAGCTGAGGCAGGAGGGTCGCTGTGAGTTCCCTGCCACCCCAGGCTACAAAGTGAGCTTGAAGCGAGCCTGCACTCCACAGCTACATACTGCCTCAAAAAAGAAAAAAAAAAAAGGTTTGGGGGTGGCATTCAGTGCAAAAGGCTCTGGGGCTCAACCCCCCAGGGCCAGAGGAAGAAAACTTCTACACATACATGAAAACACGCTTCCTTCCCCAAGAGGCAAGCGGCCCTGCGAGGAAATGAGGGCGCCCGCACTTGCAGCTGCCAGAGCGTGCGCAGCACTTTGCATTCTCAAAACAGGCGCTTATTTCTAGAAACAGGCGAGCATATTCAAACCAGAAGAAAAAAATACTGACTTCTGAAGAGCACATGTCCACCGTGGGTGTGGCAGGGGTGGGGGAGCAAGGCGGCTGCCCCCTGAGGAGCAGCGCAAGCTGGGAGACCCAGGGCTGGAGCAGGCGCTGCGTGCTGGGGTGGCCAGGGCTGCACGGCCCGGGTTTGCTGACTCTAGAGCGAGCCGCAGGAAGCCGTAGCCACGGGACAGCGCAGACACATGGCAGCCTGGGGCAGCCTTGGAGGGCGAAGGTTCCTTCGAAGGCTGCATGCAGCCTGGGGGACTGGAGCCTGGGCTGCTTCTCCCTCCACCTGCCCAGTAAGGGTTCCTTACCCGGGAGGAAACCAAGCTGGAACCCAGAGCCACAGGCGAGCGTGGGCGTCAGAAGCTGAGGGGCGCAAGCTCCCTGTCCCGTCCAGTGGCGTACAACGGGCGTCGGGCACACAGAAATGGTGGCGGAGATACCCTATGGCTCAGGACAGCCTCACAAGAACCAGGGACAGGGGATGGGTGCATCCCTGCTGGGGGACAGACCGCTAGGGCTGTGCCAGAGCGGGCCTCTGCATACGCCTGTCCTCAGCCTGTTCCCATGTGTTCACAAGAGGGCTGAAGGTGTGGGATGGCACAGAGGGATGGCCCTTCCCAAAAGACACCAAGGGCCCCACCTGGCCCTACCTTCACCCCGGCGCAGAAGAGGAGAAAGTGACACACTAGATTTGGTTAGGAAGCGTGCTTTCCCTTCTGTTTCGTGGTCTCGTGTGAAAACACTTTCCTGGTGAGGTCAATACCTTCACTCTGCCCTCCAGAGCCACCACAGGCAAGTGACCATGCCAGCTGGCACAAATGTGTGCGGACAGAGCAGTCCTCGAGCCAAGAGGTGGGGGGTCCCTTGATAAGTCTGCCGGGGAGGGGTGGCGTGCACACGCACACGCGAAGAGGGGCCTGCTGGGCTGGGGCAATGAGTGGACCAGGATGAGCATGGGGTCCTCAAGGACAAGCCAGGGCCACACAGGGCTGCCCTTGCTTGGGCCAGAGCTGGCACAGGGGGCTGGGGGAGGGGACGGAGCTGTACTCTGGGGAGCCCCGCAAGGGCTGGCAGCACGGGCAGCCCGACCTGCTGTGCTGAGCTCCTGGGAGCACAGTCTCACTAGCGGTGCCCTGGGCAGGGAGCACGAGGCCAGCCTGCTGGGAGGCAAGCACAGCTCTGGCTGGGCACCACCAGAGTGGGCAGAGAAAGGTCTCAGAGCCCTGCGCCCTTGCCCAGGGCCCCTGCAGAGCTGGTGCTACCTGCTGGCTAGGGCCCCCAAGAGAACCACGGAGCCCTGCTCCGGAGCATGCCGAGGCAGGCGCAGCCATGAGCAGACACCCTGGCCGACGTGTTCATTAAGAAATGGAAACAAACCCCAAACGGTGATTCAAACGTGTATTTGTACAACGAGATAAATACGGCTTTTCTTCCCAACACAGCTGAGGGCTGGGTGTAACATGCCTGTCAGTGTCCAGGCCCAGGCCCAGCAGCCACGGTGTAAACTTCGCCCATTCAAAGATGAACAAGATCAGGAAAGATCAAGAACTGGGGATAGGGTGGGGGTGGCTCCTGGCCACCTACGAACGGTCACTTCACTGCCAACCTCTACACAAGGACATAGGACACGTGGCTGGGGCTGGGAAACACACACCAAGAACAGGAGCAAGCGCTGGTGGAGCGGGGGAGGAAGTGCCTGATGCCCAAGCTCAGATACCAAGCTGGCCACAGAGACCAGGAGGAAGCCACCGTCTCCACGCCCACACACGCGTAAAGAGGACACTCAGACAGCAGAGACGGGGACGCCAAGAGCACCCTATGGCGGGCATGGGACAGACCCCAGCCACGCAGACCAGAGAGGGGATCACTGAGGCAGACAGGCCCAGAGCAGGGCTATGCATGGCCCAGGACTGGCAGCAAGAGCAGGGCACCAGTCCCAGCCCTGCCTCCACCGCCAGCTAAGCACCTCAGCCAGGCTACTGCAGTGCTGCGGGACAATCGGAGGGGCATCTGTCCATCTGGGCTGGTGGCCACCTAGGCCAGCAACCAGGGTAAGGTGCTGAGAGTAGAGATGCTGCCAGCCACACCCAAAGAGCTAATGCCCCAGGGCATGCGGCCGTACCCTCCTGCCCTGGCAGTGCCCAGTTGTGCATGAGCTACCTCACCCCACTGCGCCTGCGTGGGAGCCTCCGAGGCGGTCTCAACACTGCAGCTCCCAGGCCAGGCCAAGTTGGGGCAGCTCAGCGGAAAGCACCGGCCCAGCTTCTACCCAGGACCACCAAGCCAGAAAAAGCCCAGGTTTATGGAGGCCTGAGCCTCGCAGCTCTGCCCTCAACACAGGATGAGTGGCCTCCCCAGAGCCGGCAGGCACAGGGGGGGCTGCGGTGGTGGCACGCGCTCACTCGACCTTTACCATGGCTCCGAAGCCACCCCTCTCTGCTAGGGCGACACCTTCGCTGAGGGCAGCCAGCTCAGCCAGGCCCGCGCTGTCTAGTGCCTGCTCATACTGCTCGAGGCTTCGCTGCGCATCCAGCCGGCTCTCGTGCAGCTGGGACAGCTTGCTCCGTGCCTGTGTGACACAAACACAGTCATCAGGGCATGGCTGCAGGGGAACCCCAGTAAGCAGGCACCCACGGGGCTCAGGCAGGCAGATCACCAGGGCTCACAAATCCTCCAGGACCAGACAGGCCCTGACTCGCCAAGTGTGCAGGGCAAGCCAGCAGCATGTCCTCCTGGGTGGCCACCCGTGCAACTGGGCACTGACCGAAGCCTGCACCCTTTTGCATGTGCAGTCTGGTGGCCCTAACGATAGCTGCATTAGCAAATAGTGCCTGGGTTCCTGCACCGGCATTGGCAGGAGGACCAAGGGTGATGCTGTGAGGGGCTCCCACCCGAGGGACAGTGGCGCCTTACCTGGCTGATCTCATCCTGCGTGGACTTGAGGGACTTGATGATGGTCTCCAGCTGCACGCGCCCGGCCTGGATGCTCTGCTCCAGCTGCGCCTCCTCCTGTTGCAGCCGGCTCAGCTCCGATTTGGCACGGCTTAGGTCATCCTCCTGCGACCTCAGGTCGGACTCCTGAGACTGGATCTGGGTCTTCAGTGAGGAAATCTGCAATGGAGAGACGGAGAAAGTAGTGCATACACCAGGCACACGCCGCCACTGCCATGCTCCCCTGGGGAGAGAGAGCACAGCATCCGCCACCCTCCCAGCTCCCTAGAGGCCAGGGGTGTAACTCTATGCACACGAGGTCCTGGGTCCTGTCTCCAGCAAGACACAGAGACACACACAGCAACAGGGACACAGACACGCCAGTTCACATCAGCACGTGCTAGGACAGAAGATGGCTCCTCCACTCTTGGCAGAGCCCCACTTGGGGCCACCCACAGGCCCAGAGCCTGGTGCCATTGCAGCCTGTGCCACACCTCGACTGAGACACAGCAAGAGTGAGGCCCGGCCTTGTGAAGAGGCAGTAGCCTGAGCCGGTTCCCCCGCCCTCTGGGCTGCAGCCTGAGTGCCTCAGCCCTCAGCAGCCGCAGATCCAACCGGGATGAGACCCAGGCTGTGCTGTGTGGCTCACCGTCTGCGTCTCATCCTGGCACTTCTGCCGCACGTCACTCAACATGTCCCGGAGCTTGGCCTTCTGCTGGCCCATCTCGTCCAGCCGGTCCTGGGCACCCTGCTTCTGGGCCTCGAGCTCTTGCAGACTGCTCGTCTCTCGGTCTAGGTCGTTCTGAAGTTCCTGGGGACAGGCACAGGGCAGGCCTGGGCTCAGCACCCCAGGACGCCAGGAGTGGTGGCCAAGCCCAGGAGCCCAGCACTTGGGGTGGAGGCAGAAGGGTAGAGTGTCCCTGCCTCAAAGTGACAGGCAAAGGGCTGGTGTGGACGGCACACGCCTACCTGCACCTCACTGGTCTTCTGTCGTATGGCTTCCTCCTTCTCTCGGATGTCCTGCTCCAGGGAGTACTTCTCTCTGCATGGCGAAAGCAATCCACACGATCGCAGTGAGCCAGCCAGTGCCACAGCATGCCCCTGTCCCGACCTCTCACACTAGGTGGCTGCACAGTTTGCATATGGACTGTGTGTGTCCCATGGGGTTAGTGACTGGACCAGGGGACTAGGTCATGGCACAGCCTTGGAAGAGACCATGCAGGCCTCACAGGCGTCACCTGGCACCCACAGAACGGTCACCATCGAAGACAAGCTCAAGCCTTTCATGAGGTCGGCCAGCCACCACCTCGCCACCTGCCCTCATGACTTCCTAGAGGCCAGGTGGAAGCTCTAACAACAAGCTAAGGAAGCCCTTTGCTGGAGCGCATTACAGACAGCAATCCTCCCGCGTGCCCAGGTGGTAGCTAAGCAGTGTACCTTCTCCACGTGGTGGCCAGGCAGGGCCTAGGTTTGCCCTGGAGCACCAGGCACGAGGGTGGAGTCATCACCCAGCAAGGACAGGAGCCAGCTGGGCCTTCAGGCCAGCCTCTGCCAGCACCCAGCACTCAGAGCAGGGGTCCAACCCCAGCCACTGGGTGTTGGGCCTGCAGGGCAATGAGCTAGCACACATGCCCCCCATGTTGCCCTGTACCAGGCGCCATCATGTGCCAGAACCTTGAGCCCCAAGCCCCAAGCCCTTGCTGGCTGACCACCACAAAGGCCGAGGACTCCCAGGCCATGAGTGAGAATGACAATGTGACCTGACAGAGGCAGCCACCTGAGGGCCTGCCCTGTCCAGGTGACCAGCAAAGAGCTCTGGAGGAGTTGCAGGTGAAGGGGACACAGGGTGGGAGGACATGTAAATGGCAGGCTGGGGGCCAGGCTGGACTGGGGCTGTGGTGTGGTCTGCGGGGACAGAGAGAGGGCAGGACAGGTGCAGCAGAGAGAGTTCCTCCTGCGCTGTGGGGCTGTGGGCCTGTGCAGCTCGGAAACCCATGCTGAGTACACCCCTACGGTCCCAGGGCTGGGGCCCGCACACCTCTGCAGCTGGGCGATCTCTTGGCTGATATCGTCCAGCTCCTTCACCCCGGTGAACTCCCCGGGCCCCAGGGAGCTTGTGCTGTCCTGGGGGCAAATGCAGGTGCCACATCACAAGGCTGCTCCCAGCACAGCAAGGGCAACTGCTGGAGCTGTGTGCCGCCAGCGCCCCCTGGTGGCAGGCGTGGGCAGCGAGGTGGGTGGGCCAGCTACTCACCAGGACCGGGGTGCCGCGCTCCGAGGGGGGGACCATGTCCGGTGAGAGCACCTGCGGAGGGTCGATGCCCTTACTGACCTTCTGCTGGATGAGGTGCATAGCGAGTGCGAACTGGTCCTTGCTTAGCTTCCCCATCTGCCTTGTGTCGGCCAGCGCCCTGGAAGAGGCATGGATGGTCACACGAGGGAGGGAGAGCCCAGTGTGGGTGGCCATGAGGGACACCGCTCCCTCTGGCATGTGGGTGACTGCAGCCTTCCTGCTTACGTCCACTCCACGACTGGGCTGCTGTGCTGACCCCGTGGACCTCAGCACTATGTGCCTGCAGGGGTCCTGCATGGGACCTGGGGCACCTCACTCTGCCCTGCCCTGCCCCGCCCCTTGAGCCACCAGAAGACACCAGGCTCTGCCCTAAAGCACCATCTGTGGGCTGCAGGCAGTGGCCACAGGACCAGTGCCACTCCTGGGCTAAAGGGGCTGCCGGTGGGCACAGCACAGCATAGGACAGACCCCACAGGCCAATGCAGCCCTGCCCAGAGGCACCCTAAGGGGGTGTGGCAGCTGGGCCCTATTTGTTCTTTGAGAGAGGTTCTCGCTGCTTGGCCCAGGCTGGCCCTGCACTTGGGGCCCTCCTGCCTCCCCGTTCTGTGATGACCGGTGTGACACCTTCTGAGGCCCACCCCTGGTCAGGCTGACGCAGAGCCTGGACGGATGGATGAGGTACCCTGGAGAGGTGCACAGGGTACAAGTGCACAGGGCAGCCAGCATTCTCCCTGCTACTTCCTGTGCCTGTCCCACTGGGCTGTCCCCACAGAGAGGTGTGTACGTGGATGTGGCTGGCTCCCAGGCATCCCTCTAAGTTCCTATATCCAGTCCCACATGAGTCACACAAGGTGCTGTCAGGCCAGGGCGGGGATAGCTGGGCACTCCCAGGGTCACTCTGGGGGGCTAGGGCATGGCTGGCTCCCACAGTCTAGGGCTGGTGGCCCTGGGCAGCAGCTGGGTCTCACTTCCTGCTCAAAGGTCCCCTTTGCTTTGCGGGTTAGAGGGTTGAACCTAGGGCCTACTTACTAGGCTACTTCCCAGCTTTAAATTATTTTGAGGCAAGGTCTGAGGCCCAATGTGGTGGCACATGTCTGTAATTTCCAGCACTCAGGAGGCTGAGGCAGGAAGACTGCTGTGAGTTCAAGACCAGCCTCAATTACATAGTGAGACTCTGTCTCAAAAAATGGTTAAAAAACAAAGAAAAGGTGTCAGTTGCCTAGGCTGGGCTGGAATTTGCAATTCTCCTGCCTCACAACATAGTTAATCTCACAGCTCCCCAGCGAGGCCTCTCAAAGGCCTCAGGGACAAACCAGATGGTGACTTCTCCCAGGATCAAGCCGAGCGCCTGAAGCAGGCGGCACTGTGACCTCCAAGCCTGCTGACCCCTGGCTGTCTCCAAAGAGTCCCTGGCTCAATGGATCCCACAATGGCATGACCCTGGGGACACTCGGCACCACCCACCACTCACCAGATGTGGGCCAGCAGGCTCTGCGTGAGGCCGGAGTGCATGAAGATCTCCTTCACCTCCTGACCACTCACATAGCCATCCAGGTCCAGGTCGGTTTTCAGGAAGATCTCATCAAAGCGCATCTTGTCGGCCACTGGCACCACCCAGGCCACCGCAGGCTGCAAAGGTGGACCAGCTCAGCAGGCACCACTACGTGTGTGCCTGAGATGGGCTGGGTGTCACACTGCCCCACGTTGGTAGTGAACCCTCCTGGGGCTCCAAGAGGCCAGCGGGGCCTATGCATATGGGATGCAGGCTGAGGGGTCTGGCTGGTGCTGTCCCTGGCCCCCTTCTTTCCCAGCATGTCCACTGATGCCCTATTGCCCCCATCAGGGGCACACAGAGGAGCCAGTGGCCTCCTTCCCTAAGGGACTCTGGACAAGGCACAGTGGCCTTGAACCTGAGCACACCAGCCTCTGCCTGGGCAGCTGGCTCAGCAGACTGCAGAGTGCCACAATTCTTGGGCCCGGCAACCCACACAGCCTTCTCCCCCTGATCCCACCCACTGGAATGCCAAGGACCCTCACTCCTCAGGTACCCACACACATACCACCACTGGGGACAGGGTGGATGTGCAGGTGCCCAGGGCCATCTCCAGGCCCTGCTCCCAGGGTCTTCCCTGCTTACTCAGGACTCTGTGTACAGCCGCTGTGGCACCCAAGGCCCTCAGGACATGGGGGGATATGGCTGGGGACTGAGGGGGACTGGTACTCCTGCAGAGGCCACTGTAGGCAGCTTGTGCCTGCTCCCAAGGCTCCTCTGACCCAGAGGTGGCCTGTGTCCACAGCAGCACAGGATGCATGTAGCTCCTCTGCTCCACACGCCCCTCTGCAAGGTCACGACAGCCCCTTCCACAGCTTACATGCCAGCGTGTAGGCCCTGCAGAGCTCTGGGGACCTCAAGCTGGTGCAAAGAGGCAGTAGGTACCAAGTAGCAGGCTACTGCCCCAGAGAGCCCACAACTGGGGATCGAAGCTTCACCCCATGTACCTGTGCCTGCTTGAGACTGTGCTTGGGGGACAGGCTACCCGTGCTGTTGAGACTGCTGACGCTGCCGTGTGAGGGGGTGGAGCGCAGGCTGTCCTTGGGTGGTGGGCTGCCAGGCAGCACCGGCACAGCTCCGGGGAACATGGGCTTCTTGCGCTTAGACAGTGGGATGAGCGCCGGAGGCAGCACAGATGGCACGGGCTCCTTTTCCAGGGCCCGGTACACCAAATGCATGGCCTGTGGGCATAGAGGACAGGCAGCTGGTGGCCAAGTAGGTCAAAGGGACTTGTCTAATCACAGAGTAAAAAGTCTGTTTCAAATAAGTGACAAAGGACTGGCAACATAGCTCAGCGGACTAAGTGTCTGCTTAGGCAAGCACAGGGATTGGGTTTGATCCCCCACACTACCTGTCATGCTTGCCCCAACCCCGGGCACGCTGAGCAGGCCACCAAGTTGGCCATCGTGGCGCAAGCCTGTGATCCCAGCAGTGGGGAGGCTGAAACAGGAGAATCATTTAAAAAATGTGACAAAGATGAGCCAAAAATGCAACTTTCGGGGCCAGGGAGATAGCTCAGTAGAATAAGTGCTTGCCTGGCAGGCGCAAGGGCCTGAGTTCAATCCTTGGTCTGAAAAAAAAAAAAAAAAAAAAAAAACCACTAAAAAACAAACAAACAAACAAAAAACCCCAAATTGCAGCCAGGTGTGGTGGTTTTTTTTTACTGACTTGTGAGTGAGGTGATTGTTTAGAATTATGGATTGAATTAAGAGCTAATAAAAAAAAAAAAAAAAAAAAAAAAGCAACTTGCTCTTCTTCCACAGTTCTCTGGTGTTTCTGAAGTGATTCTTACTGTTCTTCAGTGATGGGACACCCAGACTGGCCTCAGCTTGAGATCCTCCTTCCTCAGCCTCCTAAGGAGCTGGGTTTGAAGGCCCAGGTCACCTGGCCTAGCTTTAGGGTAGTTTTTAGGGGACAGCTAATGATGAAAAGAAATGCATACCCACAGGACTCTGGGATCCACTCATAGACCAATATAAATCCTGGGAAAATCATGAGAAATGACCAAACAAAACCAAAAAGGCCGTTGGGGGCAAGGTCTGCTCCTAGGCGCCAGAGCCTAGAGCTGTTCAAGGACAGGGAGACAAGCCAAACCAGGTCAAAGAAAACAGGAAACAGATCAGAAAGTCCCAGAGACGCATGTGGTGATACCTGTAATACATGTCTGAGATGCCATTGAACGCACACCAAACAGTTACTTGATGCCTTTTTTTTCCTTCTTTTACCACAACAAAAAAAGAAAAACACATTTACAAATGGCTGGAATGGTTGGGCATGAAGGTGTGCACCTGTAAGCAATCCCAGCCAGTCAGGAGGCTGAGCCAGGAGGATCCTGAGTTCAAAGCCTGTCCCAAAAAGTTAGGATGGCAAATTTCATGTGATCCTCATTTTGCTACCAAAAAAATAAACTCATACAGGACAATCAGTGTTGGAGACCATTGTGAAACAGTGCTGAGCAGGACTCAAACTCACCCAAAGGCTCCCAAGACCTGTGTCACGGCCCACTAGGCCTCTAAGGCGAGAGAAGCCAAGACAGCATAGTCCTCCCACATTAACAAGTGATCTTGGGGCTGGCGAGATGGCTCAGTGGTCTAAAGCACCTACTTGGAACAAGCTTGGCAGAGCACAAGGACCACGGTTCAATCCCCCAGCACCACATGCCAGCCAGCCCCGCCCCCTGGTGGGCTGAGCTGGCCACACACACACACACACACACACACACACACACACTAAATAAATGTTAAAAAAAAAAAAAAAAGTGATCTTATTTGGAGGGGTCCTTAAAACACTCTGCCATTAAGGGCAGATTCCTTACCCTGGTTCTGATACCTAAATAAATACGGGCCAACCAGAGAAGTTATTTTTCTAAAACCCCAGAAAATCTCAAATCCCTGTGAGAGGGCCTCTGATCTACCCCGAGCCCTGAAATCATACCATTCGTCTCACTTATTTCATCCTTCGCTGTCCACTCTTTTGGGAGAGTGCTGGCCTTATCAGTCTGCAGTAACTACGGGATGCTATTAACGTGATGAACCAGCGAGAACAACACGATGGGAGAAACACAGAGAAGGTTCCCAGTGTAAAGACAGACGCCGGCAGGCACGGACTGTGGGAAACAGCCACTGCGCAGCCTGCCGTATGGGGACCATGCCTGGGGCTGAGGGCGCAGCTCGGCGGCGTAAATGCTGCAGCCCAAGGGCCCAAGTTCAACCCCTGGTGACACAAAAGCTCCGCACAGTCCCCGCAGCCCATGAGCACCCTGCTGCCACAGGCAGACCCATGATGACAGAAGATGGATGTAGGAGCAGATTCATGTTTCAGACACTTTTAGTCATCCAACATAAGCATGTTTACTACAGATTAGACAAGAACAGATCAAATTCGTCCCCCTCACTGTAATATGAACATGGACGTGCACTGAGATGCTTAGTGAATAGTGTCGAGAGCTCCATCCTGGCGCAGCGCGGAGCCCCTGCCCAGCCAAGACTGTGCCAAGCCATCCTGGAACACCTGATTCTGTGCTTTTGGTTTTTTGAGACAGGACCTCACTGTGTATCTCAGGCCGGCTTGAGCTCACAGCAATCTTTCTGCCTCAGCCTCCTGAGTGCTGAGAAGATAAGCGTGTGCTACCACGTTGGCAGAAACACCTAGTTTGACATCCTAGCACTCCCAATAAACCCTGTGAAATGAAGGGTGATGCTGTGGCCATTAATACAATTTGGCTTGAATTAATTCAATTATTACTCAAATTGGAAAAATTAAAATGTATTTATTTATTGTCTATTTTATTTTTATTTTTGGGGTGCTGGGAATTGAACTCAGGACCTCACTCTTGCCGGGTAGGCCCTGTGCCACAGAGCTAGATTCCTGGTCCTTTATTGTCTTTTTGAGACAAAGTTTCATTATGAAGCTCAGGCTGCCCCTGAGCTCACTTTGTAACCCAGGATGATCTTGAACTCACAACTATCATCCTGCCTCAGCCTCCAGCCTCCTGAGTGCGGGGATGGTAGGTGTGCACCTCCATGCCTATGCTAACTCACTTTTTTTTTTTTTTTTTTTTTTGGTGGAACCAGGGATTGAACTCAGGCTCTTGCACTTGCCAGGGAAGCGCTTATTCTACCGAGCCATCTCCCTGGCCCCACTAACTCACTTTTTAAAGAAGAAAAACAGCTGGAGGCTAAGGTTGGAGGACTATCATAAACCCAAGGTCACTGTGAACTATACACAGAAGTTCAAGGCTAGCCTGGACTAAAGCAGACCCTGTTGGACGAATACAAAAGGGATGATGCACATGTAAAGCAAGTTGATCCTGAGTACCTTCCAGCGCTGTCCGAAGTCCTCACATGCACAGGTCCTATGTTCCTAACTAAAGATCAAACCCGAGCTCTCTAAATCCAGGCACACAGCAGGGGGAGGCCGCGACTCCTGAGCTTTAGCACAGTCCAGGACATGTGTGTGCTCAGGGAGGACGCGGGGGCTGTGCTGGGCAGAGCAGGAGCACCACGAGGGCCACAAACCCGCTCCCAGGAGGCTGCTGCCCCACTGTGCTCTGCGCGCATGAGCGTGAGGGGTAAGAACCCAGGGGAGGGAGATCCGGGTGGCTCTGCTCTGTCTGCGTCCCTCGGGGCACAGCCGGCACCTGTCCCCAGGGGAAGGGGAGCAATTCGGTCACTGGACAGCCAGGTCAGTTCCTGATACCAGGCAGTGGCTACACAGGGAAACCCCTGTGCTCAAGGAACACACACGTACCTTGTGACCTTATCTCTGGAGTAGCTCAAAAGAAAACAGCTTTTTTCTTTGCAGCTTTGGAGCTAAAATCAAGGGCCTAACCCACAGTAGGCTACTCTACAGCTGAGCCACAGGCCCAATCCTCTGTAAACATTTCATTTTAAGCCTGGGTCTCACTGCAGCGCCCCGGCAGAGCTCACACTTATAATCCTCCTGCCTCAGCCTCAGAGCTGGCAGACAGGTGTGCGGGCGTGTCCAAACACCATGGCAGACCAAGCAGCCGTGGTGCAGGGAGCCCTAGGTGGGTGGCGCCCAAGCCTCTCTGTGCAACTGTGGCCTCCTGGGGTTTTTTTCCAGGTGGGGTCTCATTACATGGTTCAAGCCAGTCTTGTAGCTCAGGCTGGCATCAACTAGCAGTGACCCTACTGTCTCAGCCTTCCAGACACTGTGACTACAGGTACACAACACCTGGCTCGTGTTGGATTTTTTTGTCATTACTGTTTGATAATGGAAATATATTTTGGTACCAGGAATTGAACTCAGCACCCTGGGCTTGCCAGCCAGGCACTTGCACCGCTGAGCTGTATCCCCAGCTAAGACAGCTCTTAAGCTACAAAAAAGTGATGCCCCTCGACCCCATGGAGCCCCCAGTTCCCTCCCAGGTGAAAGGGGTGAGCCTACCACAGCGAACTCATCTCGGTCCAGGTGTCCATCTTTGTCAATGTCACTGAGGTCCCAGACCTGCAAGCAGAGCAGAGTATAGGCCAGGGCCTGAAGGACCAAGATGACACGTGCAGAGTGCCTGTCAGGCCCAAGCACCTGGACCCAGCGAGCACCATGCTGATGTTGCTCTGCATCAGGAGAGGCAATATGCCTTGGGTGGGGACTGACATCAGCCCCTCTCGCATGGCCAGCAGGGCAAGGGTGCCATCGAGTCAAACCCTAGCCTGCAACCTGCAAGCACATGAGATGCAGCTAGGCACAGCTGGCACTCCTGAGAGCCCCTGGGCGCAAGCAGCTCTTCCCAAGCCCTGGCCCCACGTGCAGCCAGGAGCTGCAGAGCATGGACTCAAGTCCCCAGCTCTGCGCCCAAGTCATCCTGCAGACAGAGGAGGCCCGCAGGAGGGTGCATGAGTCTCTAGACCCCTTGGGAGGCCACAGGCACTCACCAGGGTGCCAGCCTAGAATCGGCCCACCTCCAACCCTGCCTCGCAGACGCCCTGCTCTGCAGGGACAGCAGGGACAGTCAGAGGTCCCCAGCCAGGGCCTCCAGATCCATGGCCTCTGGTGTTCTCTGCCTGCTGGATGCCATAGGCCCACCCAGAGCAACCACCTGGTGCCTTCAGCCTGCCTGTGCTCACCCTGGGGCGGCTCTGAGCAGCCCACAAACTCCCCTCAGGGGAGGGGGAGGCACCACAGGAGAGGCAGGTGAGGGCATAGCCCCCTGCCCTTGGCTTCTGACACGGAAGCTCTGGCTGCATGTAAGCTGGAGCAGCCAATACCTCAGTCTCAGTGGCTCAGCTGCACATGAGCACTGGGAAAAGGGCACAAATGGAGGGCTGAGTGGGGAGGATGGGGGGCACGAGTGAGAGCAGGAAGAATGGAAGCCAGGGAGCTGCCCACCACACCTGCGACCTGCGGGCCTGCCTGGGGCTACCAGGGATGAACGCCCTGCGCAGGAACGGTCACCACCCCATAGGAGCCACGGGAAGGCACCGGGCAGGCCTGCAGGACCTCAGGAAACTGCCATGTATGTGCCCCAGTGAGCTGGAGGCTGATCCATGCCTCTCCTTTGTGTTCTGCAGGGTGAGAGGCAGTGGCAGTGCCTGGGAACTCCAGGAAGCCGGCCCCCCTCACTGCAGTGCCTCCGCATGGACCGAGCAGCCCACAGACTTGCTTGTTTTGTTTGCCTTGCAGGTACTGGGACTCAAGTCTGTGGCCTCTACCTCTGTCTGTCTGTCTTTCTTTAAATGTATTTGGTACAGGGTCTCACTACACAGTTTTGACTCACAATTTTGACTTGCAGTGATCCTCCTGTTTTCGGCCTCCCCAGTGCTGGGATTACAAGTGTGTGCCACCATGCCCAGACTCAGTCGCTGGCTCAGCACACCTGGGGGCCAGGCCAGCATGGCATGCTATACTGGGGATCATACCCTGGTCCCCACACTGGCCTAGGCAGGGACTTAGTCTGCTGAGCTATTGCACCGGCCCTACCTTTGTATTTCTTGAGACACAGTCTCACTGAGAAACTAAGTTGCCCAGGCTGGGCTCTGACATGCAACCTTTCTGCCTCAGCCTTCTGGAGAATGTGTGTGGACCACCATACCCAGCTGGCTTCTCATTAAAAAAGGAATGCCTCAGGTCAAGGAGATAGCTCAGTGACATAAGTACCTGCCTGGCAAACGCAAGGTCCCAAGTTCGATCTCCTGTACTGGGGGAAAAAAAAGCCTCAAACTTTTCCTAGGCTTGTGGCAGAGTAAAAAGTACCTTTACCTTGAGCTTGAAAGGCATGAAAAGAGGACTCAAAGTACCTTTACCGTGAGCTTGAAAGGCATGAAAAGAGGACTCAAGAACAGAATTAAGGGACAGGGACACACAGGCTCAAGCAGCATGACAGCAAGGGACACTGTGCCTTCGTGCATGGTGGCCTGCCCAGTGCCAAGTGGAGCCCAGCACCAGTGGACACACACACACACACACACACACACACACACACACACACGTCAGGCTGAGCTGCAGCCACTCACCCTGCCCAGGACATCGAGAGGTAGCTTCGAGTTCATGAGGACTGGCTTGACCTTGTCTCCAGAGAGCAGGCCCTTGACAGGCAGCAGGCTTTCAAAAATGCCATCAAATTTTGCCTTTTCTTCCACCTGGTGGAGAAAGCGGCTGGGTGAGAACAAGCAGACACCAGCACACATCTCCATAGCCGTGCCCCACTGGGTGGCCCCCTGGGGACCACAGGAAAGGAGCTCAAAGGGCTTCCCTGCCCTATCTGCTGCCCAGGGACACAGGCAGTGCTTCCTAGGAGCATAGGTGACCCCTGCTGACCTCCACGGGCTCACTAGAAAAGCAGTGAAGGAAGTGATGACCGAAGTCAACATTACACAGGGGAGGCCTGATTCTACTAGCCAAAAGCTATGCACAGAGGTATGCACCTGTCACCCCCGCACTCTGGGAGGCTGCCACAGGAGGGTCCCCAGTTCCAGCCCAGCCTGAGCACCTAAGGAACTTAGCAAGACCCTGTCTCAAAACAAGGAATTAACTTAAAAAAGGCTGGGGATATAGCTTAGTTTAAAGGCATTGGATTCATTCCCAATACTGTTTAAAAAAAAAAAAAAGGAGTAAAATTTATGATGTGCAGATTATACAACGATTAGGGCTGGAGTGTGGCTCCATGGTAGAGCTCTTGCCTGGCATGTATGAGGCCCTGGACTCCATCCCACACCACAAAAAATAAATAAACCCAAGTTTGCTTTTTTTTTTTTTTTTTTTTTTTTTTTTTTTTTAAGGCACTACTGGGGGCTGGGGAAATGGCTCAGTAGAATAAGCACTTCCCTAGCAAGCACAAAGTCTGAGTTCAATCCCCGGTTCCACCAAAAAAAAAAAAAAAAAAAAGGCACCATTACCACAAGAGAGGCCACCTGGCACCAGCTCTGGTACCGCATCTCCCTGCAGGAGCTTGCACGATCACCTCTCTGCATGGCCCCTGCAGATGCTCAGCCAGCTGGTGTGGCCAGCTCTGTTGCAGAGGCCCCAGGGTTACCACAGGGCCTGGGACACCTACACAATCAGGTCTCTTAGGGGCAGCTTCTCAGGACAAAGCGACTCCCTGTTGAGGTGCAGACTGGAAGGCTCCCAGCCACCCGCCAGCTCTCCCCCAGGGACAGGCTGCCCTGGGAAGGCACAGAAGAGGAGGGCGGTACTCCCTGCAGTAGCACATTCAACATCAGGGCTAGGAAGTGAAGGCAAGCCCAGCATGCCTGCAATCTCAGCACTCAGGAGGCTGAGGCGGGAGGATCCACCAGAACTCAAAGCCATGAAGTCCTCAGTGAGCTCAAAGACAGCCTGAGCTGCATAGTGAGACTCAGTGTTAAAAAACTAATCAAAGGGCTGGGGAGATAGCTCAATAGACTAAGTGTCTGCTTTGGGACGGTTTGACCCCTAGCACTATAGGCTGTGCCTGCCCCGGCCTCCAGGCATGCTGGGGCACACACCTGTAATCCCAGCACTGGGGAGGCTAAAAACACGAAGATCCCTATAAGTCCAAGCTGCGTGGTGAGACCCTGTACCAAATACATAGAAAGAAAGAAAGAAAGAAAGAAAGAAAGAAAGAAAGAAAGAAAGAAAGAATAAAAGTGAGACTGTGTGGGCCAGGGAGATGGCTCAGTAGAATAAGCGCTTCCCTGGCAAGCGCAAGGGCCTGAATTCAATCCCTGGTTCTGCCAATCAATCAATCAATCAATCAATCAATAAAATAAAATAAAAACCCAATTTTTTAAAAAAGAGAGAATATGAGGCGGGGGCTGGCTCCAGGCCGAGCACACACTGTGCAGGGGGAAGGCGTGGCTTGCAGTATCCTAAACAAGTGAGCAGGGTGATATGCGACAATAGGCAGATGCAGGACCTGAGCCATGCATCTTTTTCTCCTTGACAGCAATGGAGATGGAGCCCAGGACCTTATGACATTTCCAGCCCCTTTTATATTTTATTTTTTTATTTTTATTTTTTAAATATTTATTTATTACATTTATTTATTGTGTGTGTGTGGCCAGCTCAGCCCACGAGGGGGCGGGGCTGGCTGGCATGTGGTGCTGGAGGATTGAACCGCGGTCCCTGTGCTTTGCCAAGCTTGTTTCAAGTAGGTGCTTTAGACCACTGAGCCATCTCTCCAGCCCCCCCTTCTATATTTTATTTGGAGTCAGAGTCTTGCTAAATTGCCCAGGCTGGGTCTGAGCTTGCCATCTCCCTGTCTCAGCCACCCAAGGAGCTGGGATGACTGGTGTGGGTTACCTACTCAGTCTGTGTGATGGCCATGGCTTTGAACAGCCTCGAGTGTCCCCGTCACTCACCCGCACTGCCCAGGGGGCCTCTGTGGAAGGCGGTGGGACCATCAGGGGGCTGCTGGTGTCGTGCTGAGGAGAAACAGAGAGCCGCCAGAAGGCACAGAGTTCCATCACGGAGGAGTGCACATAACATGCCCTGGAACACATAGGCCCTCCCACGCATGTGCCACAACAGCCACGAGATGTGAGTGCTGAGGTGCCCAGCAAGGAGAGGGGAGGGTATGGGCACAGGCAGAGGCAGACACGGACACATGCAGAGCCCAACAGCCAGGACAGGGACCCAGCTCTGGAGCCGAGATGGAGGCAACAGGGAAGGTGGGAAATTAATGCAATAGAGATCAAGAAAACAATACAGAGAATCAATGAACCCAAGAGTTGGTTCTTTGACAGGTTACATAAAAATCAACAAACCCTTAGCCAACCTCACCAAGGGAAGAGAAGTCCCCACAGCGAGGGTGGAAATGGTGGGAGCAAGGGAGGTTGGCCCGGCAAGGGAGAGGGTAAGGCCCCACAGCAGCCTAGAGGGAGGCACCCACGGCAGCAGCACTCACGAATTTGGGTGGTGGTGTGGTCAGGTTCAAGTTGCTCAGTGTGACCTCATGGCCGCTCTGGGCACAGGCTACCAGTCTCAGTGCCACATAGAAGCCCTGAAACCCGAAAGGTATCATTGGACCACGGCCCAGGACTGCAGCTTCAGGGAGGAGACAGCTGGAGCAACGAAGACAGCCAGCACATGGCTCACCATGGCCCAGCCAATCTCCTGGGACATGGCTTCCAGGAACATGGCATGGACTTGCAGCAGCTGAAGGGGCACGTGTCAATGGGCCAGGTATGTAGAGGTTTTGAAAAACCAGTCTGGAGCCAGGCACAACAGTACCCACCTATCGTGCCAGGACTCTGGGAGGCTGAAGCAGGAGGATTTCAAATTCAGGTCCACCCTGGCAACTCTGCACCTCAGTGAGACAGAGTCTCTAACTAAAGATAGCAAAAAGGGCTGGGATGTTGCTCGTGCAGGGGCTCTGGGTTCTACCCCCAATACCACAGTGTGGGAGCTGGGAAGGGGCCCTGCATGGCTCCATCACTGTGAGGAGTCAGCGAGTTAGGACATGAATGGGCAGCTCGAAAGGAACTAGCATGCACAATAGACATGGCAGTTGGGGGTCGGCTTAGGACTACCAAGCCCTAGCCTCCTACAGCCCGAGTGGCACTACCTCCCCCAGGGACAGCAGGCCTGAGCCAGGTCCCCATGGGCCTGCGCTGCTACTCAGCACCTGGCCAGAGCTCAGCAGCTCCAGAGCCTCCTCGCAAGGAAGCCCACACACCAGATCTGTGCACTTTTGTCCGTAGTGCTGAGGGCTTACCCACAGCCAGCACTCAGCTGCATTCCCAGCCCCCTCCAACATCTTTTCTTCAGGAAGGGTTTCCCTAAGCTGCCCAGGCTGGACTCAAACTTGTGGTCCTCCTACCTCAAGCACGTAAGGAATGGGGATGACAAGGTGCGCACCATAGCAGGTAACCACGACAGAAAATTAAATGGCTTTTTAATCACTGGTAAAGTGGCAAAATATTTAGATAGCCAATCAAGAACAATGACCCCACCTGCATAAAAGCCCTATATTCCCAATGACAGCTTCCAATCTGAGGACAGGGATTGTGCTAATGGCCCCTGTGGAGGGGACCCAGGCACAAACGTGCCCCCCACGCGTGTGTGCACGCGTGCATGTACCTGTTTGTCCAGGAACCCTTTACCTTCTGGGTCGGCCAGGTCCCATATCTGCAGATACAGAGAGAAGCCTGTGAATGTGATGGGAACTGTGACCCCCCTCCCCTGCCCCCGACATCCATGTGCTCCCAAGATGGAGGGCAGGCCTGTCTTGCTAGAACAGCCACGCATAGTCAGGGACCCCACGCTGTGACATGGTGGAATAATTAGGCAGCCTGGCGCACCCACCTTCCCAAGGGTGGTGTCTGGCAGTCCCGACTTCTTCAAGAACAGTGCTGCCTCGCTCGCCCCGACTCTGCCTGTGTAGGCTGGGTCCACCTGGGGAGAAAATGCAGTGCCGAGGCATTGACCCAACTCCAGGGCGCGGTAATGCCAGAGCAGAGTCCCAGCAGTCCTAGGCAGGGCTGCTCCCCACAGCACAGCCTTGGTCTACTCACCTGCTTGTAGTAAGAGTCATACACTGGATTCCCGCCGGGGACCTGCAACAAAGCCAGACACTGTTAGGAGACAGCCTCACTTCAATCTTGACCCAAACTCCTGAGTTTGAGCGACCCACCTGCCTCAGCCTCCTGACAGAGGGAACTGCAGGAGTGTATCACTGTGCTGGTCCCGACACAGCTGTCACCAGAACGGACTGGCAAAGGCTGGCATGTGCACGACAAGCACCACCCTATGGAGTGGGGTGCTGTCTTCAGGAACCCCACCTGGCACTCACAGGAGCAGTCCAGCAGGCCTCACACCCATCAGCCTAACACTCAGCAGGCTGAGGCAGGAAGACTGCAGGTTCAACCCCAGTCCAGCCCTCGGCCACTTCAGGAGCCTATCTCCAAAGTGCCAGTTACTGACTGCTGAACTTGCCCAAAGCTTGCTCTGGATGAGACCACAGGGAGGTGGAACCTTGGCTCTGCCCACAATGCAGGACTAAGTGGGGCTGCTCCAGCACTACAGAGTGGGTGTCAGTCCCAGGCATCCAAGCTGAGGGACACCATGGGGCATAACTGGGAAGGAGCCATGTGGGTAGCCTCCTCCATGGCAGCACGGTCATACTTGCCAGCTACCTATGTGCCACTACCCCAGAGACAAGCTGCCCACTGCTAGGCCAGCAGTCCCAGCCACAGCATCAGTCCACCATTGTTCTTATGCACTAGAACTGGAGCTCACTACAGTAGGCTGAAAGTCTCTCAGCAGTTGTGGTATGTAAAGTATAAAATGTACCAAATAAACTGCAGCATAGTGGCACACGCCTATGATCCCAGCACTCAGAAGGCTGAGGCAGGAGGATGGCTGTGAGTTCAAGATCAGCCTGAGCTTACACAAGGAAAGCTTGTCTCAAAATAAAAAAAAAAAAAAGACACCAAATAGTACTATAAAGCCCCCCACACACACACACTTTTTTTTTTTTTTTTTTTTTTTTTTTTTTTTTTTTTTTTTTTGCAGTACCAGGGACTGAACTCAGGACCCTGTTCTTGCCAGGCAGGCACTTATTCTACCAAGCTATTTCCCGGGCCCAAGCCCTGGATATTGTTGTAATTAAAGACATAATACCTACTAATAGTAAAAAAAAAGTTGCTTTTTAATTTAATTTAATTTTGTATTTTAGGGAAGGGTCTACAGAGTGTTCAGGGTCTCACTACTAGATCAGATTCACAGTGATCTGTCTGTTTACAGCCTCCCAAGGACTGGGATTATAGGCGCACAATCTCCGTCTCAGTGTGCGGGGGGGGGGGGGGGGGGGACAGCAGGCCCCGGGGATCAAACCCCTGGCCCCTGCGCCTGCTTGCAGGCACTTTAATCTGCTGAGCTATTTGGCCAGCCCCCAAAATTGCTTTTTTATTACTTTTTGGAATGCATAAAGTAATCATTTAACTCAGAAAAATCTGATCCTGTCTCTGTCTTTCTGGAATGAGCACTAAACCCAAGGCCTGCACACTGAACTATATCCCCAGTCCTGTACTTTTTATTTTTCAAAAGGATTTGCTTAGTCACCGTAGTACAGTGGTCATCGCAGTACTGTGCGATGCCCTGGCCTCAGGTTCCAGAGTGCAGCCCCATGCCAGCCAGAAGCCCTGTCTTCCCAGCCAACAGCACCCCACTCCATACTCACTTTCCTCAGATGCTTCCTGCAGCACCCACACCTGCAACAGCTACATTCAAGACTGAGGCCTGGGTGAACAGCCCTAGCTCCCCTAGAGCTGAGCTCTCCATGTGAGCTCTGGGGCTAGAAGGCCCTTGTGTCCCTGCTCCAGCACTGCTGTGTTAGTTTCAGGGGAACAAGAGCAAGTGGACACAGGGCTCATGCTACCTGCTGCCCTGGGCATGCAAGTGAGACCATGTCCCATGTTCAGAGAGCCTGCCCTCTGCATGCTGTGGCCTTGGTGAGGCTCCTTGCACACCTCAGAGCTTGGCTCTTGGCCCCAGGTACAGTGCAGGAACTTGGCTCTGCTCTCTGGTGGTGCTGGGGATAGAGCCCAAGGGCTCCACATGGAGCCATGTGCTCCCCCCTGAGCTGCTTTACAATTTTGTTTTGAGACACAGTCTCCCCAAATCACCTGAGCTGGGCTTACACTTGCAATCTCCCCTCAGCCTCCCAAGGAGCTGAGCTTATGTTGCATCTGGTTTAAGTGCATTTTCGACTCACACCACCTCTAATTTACAGCAGGCTCTCTGGATGTAGCCACAGGGTGACATGGGCACCTCTGTCTGCGCACGCCCATAAAACAGAACGGGGATGGCAGCTCCACGATGACAGCTGTGTGTGTGCGCACGTGTGCACGAGCATGCACATGCCTGCACACATGCATCTGTGTGTAGGGGGGTGCAGGTTACACACATATACACACACACTAAGCTCCCCCAGCTCTACAAGGGCATTCCTGTTCCCTTTCTTGAGAACAGGGTCTCACTGAATTGCCCAGGCTGGCACTGAACACTTGTGGTACCTGCAGTCTTCCTGCCTCAGCCTCCAGAGTGGCTGGGATTACAGGCATGTGCCCCGGGCCCAGCACACTGTACCTGACTTAACACTAGGCCCAGCAGCAAAGTCAAGTCTGCACAATCACTGGTCCTGAGAGGAAGTGCTGAGCCCAGGCCCAGCTCACAAAGCCTCAGAGGCACCTCACTGCCAGGCAAGCGTGAGGACAGGCTCCCTGCAGCACTCTGACTATGCATTCTCCGGGGTGAGGGGCAGGGTTTGGTCACCTCTGAACCCTGTCCTCTATGAGATCACTTTCCTCCTCTGAGGGCACTGGGGATGGAGCCAGGCACTCCCTACTGAAAGGCATCCCAGCCTTGGAAAGCAGCATTCCTTAGGCAGAGAGGGTATGTGCCCCAATTCTGCCTTTTCCAGTGAAAAAGAAACCAACCTGGGGCCAGCCTGCGGCTTAGCGGTGAGCACACGCCCAGGGCTCACAGGCCCTGGCTTTCAGCCGGGTGCCATGAAGAGTGAGGAGGAGAAGGCTGGCGAGAGCATGGTGGTGCACATCTGTAATCCCAGGGCTGGGGAGGCTGAAAACAGGAGGGTCACTACGAGTCCAAGCTGCATAGTGAGACCCTGTACCAAATACACAAAAAATAAAATAAAAAGCAAGGAGGAGGAAGGTGCAATGACGGGAGCACTCATACAGTGCTGCACTGTCATCACCTTCAGGACAGAGCAATGGTACCCAAGACCCAGGGACTTCACTAGTCTGCATCCTTTCCTTCACATGACCACAACTGCTCTGGTGCGGAAGCCACACTTCCATGGCATGCAGACAGAGTGCGGGCATGAGGCCACCTCCAGCATGCTATGGTGAGCAGTGACCAGATGCCCACATGGTTGCTCCAGCACTCTGCAGTCTGCATCCCGAAGGCTCTGCCAGGCCACAGGCACCTGCCACTTCTGTAGGACTTGGAAAGGGGCCTGAGGCCTCTTCCTCCCAGCAACAGCTCTGGGCTAGCCCTGGGCCCAGAGTAGCAGTTCCAACAGCCTGGGGCCCTTGTCTCAACCAGACCTGTCCCTGCTGTGTCACCACCTGCCCTGGCCCCACTGGTGCTTCTTCCTCCTGTTTGCTCCTCCACTAAGGCCCCTGTTCTGACAGCCACCCTGCGTGTCCTTCCATCACTGCCCTTCTCCTGTCCTGGCCAGCATCCTCCATGCTACTCCAAGCCTATATAGCACAGCAGAAAACACTGAACCTGATCTTCACTCCAGTGCAATTGGCTGTGCGTTCTTGACTACAGTCCTCAAGAGCTTGCTTCGACTCCTCAACACACACACAGACACACAGACACACAGACACACCCCACCATGCAGTTCAGCAGGGCCTCCAACCAGGATGGACATAACAGGCAGTCCTTGCTCCAGCCATGAGGGGACACAGACTGGTGGGCAATAACCCTGGAGAAACCCCAGCAAGGGTCTGGACAAGCATAGGCACCCATCACCACTAACACAAACAAAAAGGCTTCTAAGCACACCTGTGATCTCAGCACTGGAGGACCACATGTCTGAGCCCCACCTGGACAACTTAACAAGGCCACACCTCAAAGTGAGTAAGTAGGACTTGGGATGCAACACAGTAGAGAAAGCCCAGGGTGTGACCCCCAGCCTCCTAAAGTCAGAAGAGCAAAGACAGGCTTCCAGGAGTTAGTGATGGCTCAGCTGCACCAGCTACCAGAGGGAAAAGGCCAGAGAGGGTCGGTCAGCACACAGCACAAAGGCCAAAGAACCTGAGGCCAGGGCAAGCCACGCAGGTAATGGACACAGCCTCTAGAACAAGTAGTGCAGGTTGGGTGGTGGGGAGGTCATAGGCACAAGCCCTGCTGGACAGACAGGCCTCCAGGGCCGCTTCAGCTAGCTTTTGGCTCCACCTTTGCTCCCAGACACTGTGGGCTGGAGGGAGAAGAGGGGCTGCCAGTCAAACCCATCATCCTGTGGGCTGGGCAGGCACAGTGGTCCTCCCCCAAACCTAGCCCTGGAGGCTGAGGCAGGAAGAGCTCCAGTTTAAGGCCAGTCTGAGCCACATATTGGGACCCTAATTCAGAAAATAGGGAAAGCCCACGACCCATGTAGCAGGCAGCACAGAGTAGGATCTGCGGCCTCCCTCTGTGCACCCCCAAGCCCATGGAGCTCCAGCAAGTGTCATCAGTCCAGTGGTGACCCCGCCTGAGCAGGCAGCAGCCTCCCCACCTGCTGCTTGCCTCTCAGGCAAAGCAGGTACCCAGGGCCTCCTTTCTCCTTTCTCAGGTCATCTATAGCCTAGGCAGCCACCTGACTGCCAGCATTTACCCAGACACCTTCCCCCTCCTCTGGGCACTCTCCTCTGCTCCTCATTTTCACAGGTGGCCATGCCCCTCCTCATCCCAGTTTCATCCTGAGGTCCCTCTTCCAGGCAGCCACCTCCAAAGCCCAACTGGAAACCTCGCCAGAGGCCCCACCCCCCCAGCTCCAAAGCCCAGAACATGGACCCTCAGTGTCTGCAAGGCCCTGGGCTGAGCCCACTCTCCCCACCAGCCCTGAGCACATCTGCCCCTCCTGCAGGGGCAGGGAAGCCTTCTGGTTCAGCTTGCCCTCTACCTTCTAAAGGGCTGGGGATTCCACAACTATGACACACAGCTGGAGACTAGCTGAGAGGTGAGCACTTGCCTGGTGTGCCCTAGGCCCTGAGTTCACCCTTAGCACTACAGAAATCTATTCCTTTAAAGAAATAACAGGGCAGGCCAGATAGCTCAGCGGACTAAAGTGCCTGCTTAGGCAGGCGCAGGGACCTGGGTTCGATTCCTGGTGTTGTGTGGCCGTGCTAGCCCCACCCCCAGGGTACACTGAGATGGTGACTGAGACTGGGCGTGGGGGCATGTGCCTACAATCTCAGCACTTAGGAGGCTGAAAACAACAGGATCACTATGAGTCTGATCTGTGTAGTGAGACCCTGTACTAAATACATTTTAAAAAAAAGAACAGTAAAAAGAAGAGGTCTTGGACTGATACATAACCCAGTGATACAGCACTCACTCAGCACTTATGAGACTCTGGGTTCCCATCCCAGCCTCACACAATAAATAATAAAAATAAAAGCCAGGCACAGTAGTGCACACCTGTTATGCCAGCACTCTGGGAGGCTGAGGCAAGAGGATGGTAAGTTCAAGTCCAGCCTGAGAAACTCGGCAACTTAACCAGAGCCTGTCTCAAAATAAAAGAACCAGGGACACTCCTCTGTGTGAAGGATCTCAGCTCAGTCTCCAGGACACAGGGAGACAGAAGTGGATCTCAGCTCTCTGGTACTGCCAGACTCAAGGACAGCCACTATCCCCAGAGCAGCAGGGCATAGCAAGGCCCTGCCAGCTCAGAGTGGGCCAACATACACACACACACGCACACGCACACACACACACACACACACACATATTCTTGCTTGGCCGGGTTATTCAGCGGCCAACACCCAGGCCAACATGGGTCAGCTAGAGGAGGGTATGCCACAGAAAGCACCAGAGCCATACTTCACTCCAAAGCCTCCTCTCTCCTGGCCGCCTTTCACATTCAGGCAAGGGATGAGCAATTATCTCAGAGGAAGACAAAAAGAAACATGAGCCCCAGGAGGTCAGGCTAGCGTCCTCCACCCAGCACCCAGCCTAGTACCCAGCACCATTCCAGACTCCCCTGGCAGGGTTGTACAAAGCATGGCACCCAGCAGGCCTTCTGCAGAGCTGGGAGAAGAAAAGCCTAGAACGTACCTGCCATGTAACTATATCCTTGTACCATTTTTTCAACTATAAAAAAGAAAACCAGCCAGTCCTGGTACTACATATGTGTGATCCCAGAACTCAGGAGGCTGAAGCAGGAGGACCGAAAGTTCCAGGCCAGTCTGGACTACTGCACACAAGGGTAAAGGGGTGCAGGTGTGCCTCTGTTTTGGAATGGGCTGCAATTAAGGAGGTACTCTTGGAGGAATGGAGGCCCACAGGCACCACAGGAATGAATGGTTCTTAGAGAGGATAGCTGCATGTAGGAGAAGAGGCTGTAGTATGAAAGGAGCATGCTTGGTGGTTCAGCAGCACAGGGCAGGGCAGGGCTCAGTGCCCTTCCTCTCTGCCCACAGCCAAGCTGTCAGCCACCACTGTGTACCACGAGACCAGCCCATCAAATTTGTCCAGCTTGCCCCGCTACCCTGTCCAGAAAGCACCCTAGCCTCCTCTGGGTACCTTGGGCTTGGGTGACAGGGATTTCTAACAGTTGCACAACAGAAGTGAACTAAGCAGCCAAAGTACAGAGAAGTGCTGACAGGATCACTCCAAGGAACAAATCCTGGCCCAGATAACCTTCAGCCTCATGTAAGAAACAGGAAGCAGCTTAGCAGGCGCTGACCAGAAATGTCAGATGCTAAAGGATCCACTGTCTCTCTTAGAGCAATCCCACATAGTCTGTCCCACCCACAGCTCCATCCCCCAGAGAAGAAAGCCACATGCGACTTGCATAGTGGCCTGCTTAGTGGCCCAGCAGTCAGCAACTATACAGTATTCAGCCTGGGAGATTCGGGGACACACAACCATCAGGGGAGCCTGCTGGATGCCAAGCAGATGGGCAGCTGTGTGAGGGGTTGCTGGTCACAACTGAGCCACAGAGACCCAGTGGGGCAGAGCAGCAGGAACTGTGCTTCAGGAAGAGGCACAGCCAGCCAGGGGGGACAGCAAGCACAGGGCGGCAAGTCTGCTGTGGTGTGGGGGCCAGGAGAGGATGGGAAAGAGGTGAAAGAGGTGGGAGAAGCTGCAAGCAGCAAAGGAGGGGAAACAGGTCCTGGATTCCAGGGGATACCTCACAGGTCACAGCCCTGCATGGCAGCCACATCATGACATGAGGCTGCCTACGGAAACACACTTGTAACATGTATAGAACTCCCAAGGCGCTCAAGGGACGTTAGCTATTGTCACTACCTGGTCCAAATAAGGGCCACCGTCAAAATTAGCAAGTCAGAAAAACACCTGCTCCCCAAAGAAAATCTAAACGCTAAGCAGTGCTTTCTTATTCACTGAGCTCAGGTGAGCCTCAACTTCCCCACACACCACGAAACCGTAATATTTAGCTAATAATAATAATAATTAGGGGACACAGTGGTGCACACATGTAATCTCAGCACTCACAGGGCTAAGGCAGGAGGCTTGCTGTGAGTTTGAGGCCAGCCTGGACTACAACTGAGTTTGCAGAGTGCACAGTGAAACGGTTTCAAAAATAATAATAATAATAATAATAATAATAATATCTAATGGCAAGTGTAGAAGCAGGCACCTGTAGTCACGGCTACTTAGAAGGCTGAGGCAAGATTTTTTACAGTCAGCCTGGACAACACAGCTACCTCCAAACCAGTAAAGCCAAGTATCTGCAAGACCCTTGGAGGTTTACAGAGCACTTAAGAATCTGTTACTAGAACACGTTACTTAATAACCATTGACCTCTGGCACCATTCATTTAGCCATAGGGCTGCAAAGTGGCTGGTTCCAGCAAGACCTAACAAGCATGCACGTCTGCCTGCTCAGACCAGGGGACCACATCTGCCAACTATCAGCTTCTTTCAGACTCGGCGTCCACACCTAATGCGGCCCTCGCTCCCAAATGACCACAACTGGGAGGGATTAAAAGGTGACAATGACGGCAGCACTCCAGGAGCGCATCCCTGCGTTCCGTCCTCGCAGTGTCCCCCGTGCAGTCTCCAATCTACAAACGAGGTGGCCGGGCACGGAGCGGCCAGAAGCTTCACCCAAGGGCACTGGGACAGGAGGGCAGGGCCGAGACCCATGCACACCACGACTTCCTCCGCGTCCGCCCTCGCCAGCAGCGCGTGAAGCCAAAGGAGCCCAGCAAAGTGCTTGCTTATGTGGGGTTCGGGGCCAACAAAAGCGGCTGCGACGAGCGGGGCACAGGAGTTTCACAGACAGAGTCGTCGCCTCCTCAGGAGCGCAGCGACCTTGTGGCCCCGGGCGGGCGGCGGCGCTCGCGCCGCGAAGGCACGCAGGAATGAATGAACGCTCTCGCGGGCCAACCTGCGATCCGGGTCGCGCCCCGACCCTGCCCCTCCGCGGCCCCCGGGGCACCCGAGGACGCACGACCCGCCCTTCGGGGATGCAAGAGTCGGGCAGCTCCCGCAGGCGCCGCGCTGCAGCCGGCAGGGCCCGAGGCTGCGGCTGCGCCACGAGAAAGCGCGCTCCCCTCACCCTCCCGAGACTGAGGTGGCGGGGGCGGCGGCGGCGGCGGGTGGGCC